AGATCGAGATCTTCCATCCCCTGGTTCACTCCCCAAGTGCCCGCAACACCTGGGGTTGCAGCAGGCGGAAGCCAGGAGCCAAGAATTCCATGTGCGTCTCCCATATGGGTGTCAGAGACCTAGTTCCGTGGGCCATCGGCTGCTGCCTTCCCAATAGCAGAAAGCTATATCACAGGCAGAGGAGCTGGGACTTGAACCGGCTCTTCAATATGGGATGCAGGCACTGCAGGCAGCACCCAAAGCAAGAAAGTGAGGCGTCAGCTCAAGAGAGGCTGGCTTGTTGTTTTTAAAAAACAGAACATATCTGGAATCCATTTAAAATCCATTTTTAGATGGTTGGACTGTAAACTATTTGAGACGGTAAGGTCTAAGGCAGATTGTGCTTATCATCGTATAATATGATAGTTATGGATGAGCTTAATGAGCCTTCACTGAGCACATACGTCTGTGGGGAGCTCGTCTAATGTGCCACATAACATGGTACCTTTCAAAAACTACGGAAAAGCCTTAATTAGTCTCTGACAGTGTTAAGAGACGCTTGAATGCTGTAAACGGCTGTTTTCTGAATGAGCCTTTTTTTTTAAGGTTTTTTAAAAATTAATTTATTTATTTGACAGAGTTAGACAGTGCTGAGTGAGCCTTTGAATACCAAAGAGTGAGAAGACTGGGGAAAGCAGCGACCTTCAGCTCTCTTGCCTCAAGTGTGCATGACCACGAGTATTCCAGCATTCTGATCTCTGGACTTTGTAAATGCAGCCCACAAGCGTGCACCCAGCAAGCACGGTTTCCCAGGAATGGTGTCAGGCACTGGGAAACAGAGAGGAAAGATCCATCTCTGAAGGACTTCCAGTTCAGTTCTAGCTCACTGGAATCTAAATTGCTGTTCAGCGCCTATCTTGACGTTTCATCTCAAAACATACCGGTTCAGCAGATGCGAGGCAACCCAGGGCTCTGCAGTGGGGGCGGAAGGCAGGCTGCCTCAAGCTGATGAACCACGAGGCTGCGGGGGTTGAGGGAGAGGCTCCACCCTGTGGCCCTCGACTGTCTTCTTAGGGGTCTGAGCAAGCTGTTGACGCTTACTGTTTCTACGTCCACAAGATGAAAACCACCCACTCTCCTTCACTGGGCTCCTCCCGCCCGTGGGTGAAGTTCACTGCTCTTCGACTGCCTGGTCGTATGAATGCTGGAATACCTCGTATGACCGTGGCCAGCCTTTTCCTTAGCATCCTCCCAACTTCCATGAATGACGGGTCCATCTCTGTCCTGCTCCTGCGTGCTGCTTCTTTAGCGCACTGCATCACAGATCCTGTCCTGATCAGCCTGTATGCTCCCTTCTACTTCATTCATTCACTGCCGAATTCTCACTGGCTCCACAAGTTGTTCCTCCAACATGGGTGGTCTGTTGTCTTTTTGACAGCCAGTGTCAATATTCAGGACCTTCAAGGGTGCTCTTGGACATGCATTCTACTTGCCCATAAACCCGAGCCAGCTGCTTCTCCCACTGTGTGTGGCAGGTGTCTCTCGGCTCACTCAGAACCACGCCCTAGTGGTGAGCGTTGTGGCACAGTGGGTAAGCTGCCACTTGGAAAGCTCATATTCCACCCGGAGTGCCTGGGATCCAGTCTCACCTCCACCTTCCAATCTAGCACCCTGCTAATGCACCTGTGAGGCAGTGGATGATGGCAGGTACTTGAGTCCCTGCCACCCATGAGGGAGACCCGAATGGAGTTCTTGGCTCCTGGCTCCAGTCTGGCCCAGCCCTGGCTGTTGGTGACTATTTGGAGAGTGAACCAGCAGACGGAAAATCCTTCTCTCTCTCTCTCGCTCTCACTCTCGCTCTAGCTCTCTCTCTCTCTTGCTGTTTCTTCTTCTCTCTATGTCACTCTTTCAAATAAATTTAAAAATAAATAAATCTTAAAAAAATAAATAAAAAGGGGCCGGTGCTGTGGTGCAGTGGTTTAATGCCCTGGCCTGAAGCGTTGGCATCCCATATGGGCGCCAGTTTGAGACCCGGCTGCTCCTCTTCCAATCCAGCTCTCTGCTATGGCCTGGGAAAGCAGTGGAAGATGGCCCAAGTCCTTGGGCCCCTGCACAGCGTGCGAGACCTGGAGGAAGCTCCTGGCTCCTGGCTTCAGATCAGCGCAACTCTGGCCGTTGCAGCCAATTGAGGAGTGAACCATCGGATGGAAGACCTCTCTCTCTCTCTCTCTTTCTCTGCCTCTCCTCTCTCTATGTAATTCTGACTTTCAAATAAATAAAAAATCTTTATAATAAATAAATAAATAATTGTTAAAAAAACATATGCCTATATGCCTAGGGGAACCTTGAAGTCACAGAGTATACCATGCAGTTTTACAAAAGCCAAGGAGAGGCGTGACTATGTGCGAAATCCACTTGATTCACCCCACAGTCAAGACGCCAGCCTCGTCTCCTGGAAGACTCAGCCCTCGTCACTAGAGAAAGCTCATGTACTTTGTTCAAGACGGTCATCTGGAGGGAGTGGCCTCTCAGTGTCCCGCCACCTGAAATGCACACTTGATAAACATGGCTTCGATAAAACGTCAAGCTAAAAGCACACAGAGACACAAATGTGTAAGGTTTTTGTCCTCAACTCAAGCTCCACTTTATACTCCATGGCACCCGGCTCAGAGAGAGGCTCACCTGCTCTGGCCCCACGGCTGACCAATGAAGCCACCTGAGTCACAGAGGCTGGTAACCGGCAGTACAGGAAAGGAGTAGAAGCTCCTGACAGCAAGACTGACTTTTTCCACTATCCGACTGGATGATTTCTGCTGTTATGCGAAGCGGTTTAACAAGCAAAGCATACGACATGAGACCTCACTGAAAATGCAGGTGCACTTCTAATAAAACTGAGGAGTCAAGAACTCACTTTTTACCTCAAGGTAAAAGGTCTTGAGCCAGATCTCAGAACCACCAGTCACAGGCTGGGAACCCTGAATAAAAGCCACTTTGATCTCTCTGTGCTCCAGTTCCTCTATCTGTCAAACCAAGGCTGATAGTGACACATACAAATGCTTCCCCGCTTAGGGAGGGGTTCTGTCCTGATGCACCTGTGATGAGCTGAACTACCCTGAGCAGACAGTGCATTTAATACAGCTGTCCTGCTGAACATCATAGCTTAGCCTTCCCCAAAAGAGCCCAGGTGCTCACATTAGCTACACGGGGCAAAAGCACTGAACACAAAGCCTGTTTTATAACAGAGTTGCGTGGCTCAGGGACACACGCAGATGGGCATTTTGGATGCAAAAACCACAAAACACAGCATCCAAAAAACACAGGCGACACAGTTCCCTGTAGAGTGTCGCCGCTCTCCTGCCGATCTCGGGGCCGGCTGGCAACTGCAGCTTACCGCCGGTGGCCGGCGTAGCAAGAGTTAAGAGTATGGAAGCCACCAAACAAAAAGGCTAGCTCAGAAAAAAAAGAGCAACAGTTGGGAGGACGGGTTCTACCGATTGGTTATCGAGTTCATATTGCTTTCCCACAGTCGTGAAGTGAAAAAAAACTGATAGCGAGTCCGTCCAGCATAAACCAGGAACCACCTGTATGCTGCTTGGGACACACCTGCTTCCTAGCAGCCCTGGGGTTACAGCAACATCCTTAGCTCTGTTTCTCAGCTGAGACAACTGAGGCACCGTGGGACTGAGGGGATCTGGCCACGGAGGTCGCAAGGTTGAGGGACCTGGATGCGAATCCAGGCAGCACCTCTTTTTGGCTTACTGCACCTGTCAGACTGAACTGAAATGAGGTTGAACAGGTCTGCACCGAGCCCCAAGTTAGCACTCACCAATATCCTGCTGTGTAGACGCATTTTAAATCACAACAGGCTAACAAACACCGGGAAAGCCCAATTCTGTATATTAATAGGTCATCTTTAAAAATCTGGGATAAACTAAGTCTGAAAAACACGTGACAACATTTCTATATGAGTGCACAATGAAATATTATTTTTTGACCATGGTTTTACTAAAGTTTAATTTTAAGAGTGGAAATTCCTCTATTTCTCAGATTTGCCTCGATTTTTTTGTTTGTTTGTTTGAATCATCTTGAGGATACCAAAGCCTTCTCCCTCAAGGATATCATTTTAAAACACGTGTAGGCAGAGAGTAAGTGCCAAACATGTGAGATGCATTTGAAGTTGTTTGGAAGACAGTTCTGATTATGAGCTCAAATTCTGAATCACGACTTTCCAAAATGTGTTCAAGGAAGAACACACAAACGCTGCGAGGGAAGACAGCTTAGATTTCCCGAGACTGGGTTAGGCTAGTTCCAGCGGAACCAGGGATTTTAAAAGAAACAGGAACGTGATCGGTGATTCATTTAAAATGAAAAAAAAAATTAACATTTTCTTCCTGCAATTTCAGTTATGCTAAGATAGCCCACAGTAGGAAAAGTGACTTTTTTTTCACTTACAAGAAGTCCATTCAAAAATAATCCAGCGGCTCAGGCTTTTAATTTCCGCACGAGTCAAGGCACGAGGCCACACCACACAGCAGCGCAGCCCAGCACGAGGGGTCCGCAGCGCCGAGCCGGCTCCGGAGCGCGCTCAGCGGCTACCTTTCCCGCGACCTGCACGCTCGCACCCGCGGGCAGCCTGGGCCGGGGCGGCGACCGCACCTCGCCAGGGCGCGGACGGCGCGCAGGGTCCAGCTGCGAGCGGAGACCCAGGGGTCGTCCCCTCCCCCATCCTGCCCCATCCTCGCTCAGGATCTCTCATTGTACGGCTCGCCCTCTCCTCCGTGGTCTCCCCCGTCCACGGCTCAGATCCCTTATTCCTGGGACCCCCACAGCTCGGTCCCCTGGTCTGCGCCGTGGTCTTCCCACTCCAGTTCGGGTCCCCTCTCTCAGGGGTCTGAACGCCCCTGCGGGGGTCCCTTCTCTGCAGGATCGCCCCACTCCCGACACGCGCCCCTCTCCCCGGAACCCTCACCGTATCCACACGGCTGCTCCCCTCGCGGGTGGCTGGACACCGAGATACTCACCGGGCGGGCGGCGGCGCGTAGCTGGCGGCGGCGGCGGCGGCTCGCAGCCGGCCGAGTGGAGCCGGCGCTGCTCCCGCCCAGAGATCCCCCGCCGAGTCATTTGCCCATATAAGGAGACGCACGCCAGGGCGGCGCGGGCGGCGGGCTGCGCGCTGGCACCGCGCACCGGGCGCGGGCGGCGGCGGCGCCCCTCGGCCTCGGGGTGGCCGCGCCCCCGCCGCCGGGCTGCGGGCTCAGCAGCCAGTCTCCTTTGTTTGTTCAGTCTGCGCCTTGGATCCTTCCCTCCGGGTCCTGGGCGCACGCTGGGTAGCTGGACGCAGGGCAGAAGCCCGTGGAGGCGCAGGGGGCCGGGACAGGAGGGATGGGGCGGCGACTCAGGTCTGGCAGGGGGAGGGCGGAAGGGTGTGCTCCTGGGACGCTTGCACCTTGGGGTGGTCTCTGCCGCACCCTGAAGTGAACCCAACAGATGACTAAGGAGAACCCTCTAGGGAGGGGATCCAGGCAGAGCCCAGCACTCCAGGGCCAAGGAGACGTCGAGTTGGTCCAAGTTCCCCTCCAGGGCAGAAATCCAAAGCGAGGTGGGAAGCTTCGCCCACCACCACCCACAGAGAGCATCCACCTCTGCGCCCTGGACGCTTGGTGGAGAAGAATGGCACCGCACTCGGCCTGGCAACAGAGGGTACAGCTGGGACAAGGGGCCGTGGGAGATCCACACGCTTGCTCCAGACCCGGCAGCCAGGCCCGGGTAGACACGGGTGAATGAGTGGGTGGTGTTGGAGAAATTCTGAGGACAGGCATGTTATTTTTAACATTCAGATGCGCTGAGTGTAATGCCCTCTGCAGAGAGGGTAGGAAGAATTATTCAATTGCTTTCTCTCGGTTGATAGTCTCTGCTCAAGGCCATGGGAGTGGTGACCACGCCCCCCGAGACCCCACCTGCAGACTGTCAGGTAGCCAAGCCCTGCAAGATTCTTCCAGGGTCATCCCCCTAATCACTCACGTGGGGTGAGGCTCGGCGCAGACAAGAGCAGAGCCAGCAGTGCGTTCGGGGAACCCAGCCCTGTGCTCATCCTAGGTCCCCCACCCACCTGCCTGAACCTCATCAAGGACCCGTGCATGGGGCACAGGATCTCAGTTCCCACTCAAAGTCAAGGCAGACCCAAAACTTGAAATTCAGCTGGAAGTGTGTGTAGAAAAGGCCATCTCCTTTGACACCTGGCTACATTGTTTTCTGTATAACTGCAAATCACCCAGCGGTGGCCTAGTTCCCCAGCAGTGAGTCACAAGCTTCAGTCTGTAAAACATTTTTAAAATGATTGAGCTGTGGCACAGGGGACTAAAGCATCCCTTATGGGCGCCGGTTCGAATCCCAGCTGCTCCTCTTCCAGTCCAGCTCTCTGCTGTGGCCTGTGAAAGCAGAAGATCCCCCAAGTCCTTGGACCGCTGCACCCACAGGGAGACCCAGAAGAGGCTCCTGGCTCCAGACTTTGGATTATCTCTGCTAAGACTGCTGTGGCCATTAGAAGAGTGAAACAGCAGATGGAAGACCTCTCTCTCTCTGTCTCTCCCTTTCTCTGTAACACTGCCTCTCAAATAAATATATAAAATATTTTAATTTTTTTAAATTTATTATTTTTTTTGACAGGCAGAGTGGACAGTGAGAGAGAGAGAGACAGAGAGAAAGGTCTTCCTTTGCCGTTGGTTCACCCTCCAATGGCCGCCGCGGCCAGCGCGCTGCGGCCGGCGTACCGCGCTGATCCGAAGCCAGGAGCCAGGTACTTATCCTGGTCTCCCATGGGGTGCAGGGCCCAAGGACTTGGGCCATCCTCCACTGCACTCCCGGGCAACAGCAGAGAGCTAGCCTGGAAGAGAGGCAACCGGGACAGAATCCGGTGCCCCGACCGGGACTAGAACCCGGTGTGCCGGCGCCGCAAGGCGGAGGATTAGCCTAGTGAGCCGCGGCACCGGCCATAAAATATTTTTTAAAAATGATGGAGCATTAAGTCTGCATTTATCTTCTTTTTGCTTTTGTCTTTTCCATTTTACTTCTAAGGTTTTCCAATTTGTGTTTAACTCATTTATTATATATTTATTACCAAAGTTATTTAGTTCTCTAATTTTTCTTTTCATTACCATGTTTGTTGTGTCATACAGATTCTGGTAGACTGCATTTTCTTTTCTTTTCTTTTCTTTTCTTTTCTTTTCTTTTTTTTTTTTTTTTGGACAGTGAGAGAGAGAGACAGAGAGAAGAGAGAAAGGTCTTCCTTTTTTTTCCGTTGGTTCATCCCTTAATGGCCGCTGCTGCCAATGTGCTGAAGCCGACGCACCGTGCTGATCCGAAGCCAGGAGCCAGGTGCTTCTCCTGGTCTCCCATGGGGTGCAGGACCCAAGGACTTGGGCCATCCTCCACTGCCCTCCTGGGCCATAGCAGAGAGCTGGACTGAAAGAGGAGCAACCAGGACAGAATTGGGTGCCCTGACTGGGACTAGAACCCGGTGTGCTGGCGCCGCAGGCGGAGGATTAGCTTGGTGAGCCACGGAGCCGGCCCTGCATTTTCTTGATTATTAAGAAACTTCGTCAATTTAATTTTGCATTTCCCTTTTGACCTAAGGGATACGGGACATTAGAAATGATTCTGTGGTAATATAGCTAACGAAATCCAGGCTCTGAAGACACACCTACCCAGCTTCTACAAAAACACTGCACAAAGAAATGGCCGCGACAGCCAGATCTGGGTCAGACCAAAGCCAGAAACCAGGAACTCTTTCCTGGTCTCTTACATGGGTGACAGGAGCCCAAGGACTTGGGCCATCTGCTGCTGTCTTCCCAGGTGCATTAGCAGGGAGCTGGATTGCAAAGTGGAGCAGTCAGGACTGTAGGCATTGCAAGCAGCAGCTTAACTTACTGCGGAACGACAGCAGCTCCCTTATTCGGATTCTTATGAAAGAAAAAGTACTAAAAATACGTTTTTAATAAGAATCTAGGAAAATGGGACACTGACGGCATATTCAATGGTATGAAATTGTTAGTTTATTTCCAGTGTGATAATGGGAATATGTGTACCCTTTCCTCCTCTTTTTTCTGAGACTTTCCTTTTCAGGAATAGTGTCAGGATATACACCAGTGAAACATGGGTAGTTTCAAAATAATTCGAGGTGGCCTAAGTGGAGGAGGCTGATCTATACATGAAAGAGCATCAGCTATATGTGGATTGTCAACCATAGTCGAAACGTAATGATGGATATGTGGGGGTTTGTTATAGTAGTCTCTCTCCTTTTGTAATGCTTGAAAAATTTCCTAATGACAAAAAATTTAAATTACAAATGCACATACTCTTTGCCCTTAAGCCAGCATTTCCCCTTACAGGAAATTACCTTGTAGGTACACTTGCTCATGTGTATAATGATGTAGGTACAGTAGCATTGAACCATGTTGTAAGTGCAGCCAAGGAGTGTAATTAAATATAGCATGGGGCATTTTAAAACTATTTGTGTGCAACTGTTAAAGAGACGGAAGTAACTCTGTTTACCAACATGGCAGGATCTCCAAGATGTTTCAACTGAGAAATATAAGCAGAGAACACCGGGTAGATAGCACCCAACCTTGTGTGTGCGTGAACAAAGGAGGGCAGGGAGGGAGCCCGAATCTACTTGCAAGTGGCTGCTTTTGGAGAGAGCCAGGGAATTGGGAGTCGGAGGTGAGAAAGGATACGTGTACACTCTTTCGTTTCTTGTGAATTTTGATCTAAATAAATGTAAACCCAAACCAGAAACATTTTGAAAAGAAAAGCAACATATGCTCCCTCCTTTAAGAGAAACAGAAAACAAATGTTGAACTGAGATTTTCTAGAAAGTCAAAGGAAGCTAGCTAGAGATAAAGAAAGGGGGGCATACACTCTCTAGATTTAATGGCACATGCTTTGGGGAACCCTGCGGTCAAAGGATAAATTATTAAGAATAAATTTTCATGAGACAATCTGGGAAAATACATTTTGCAAAGCTCTATCTCGTATGTCATAATATTCCTAAGACCCAACTAAAGTGCCTGATGGGTGCTGTGTTCTTAATAAAGATGTGTACTGAGGGGCCGGCACTGTGGGGTAGCGGGTAAAACCGCCGCCTGCCGTGCTGGCATCCCATATGGGCGCCAGTTTGAGTCCTGGCTGCTCCACTTCTGATCCAGCTCTCTCTTGTAGCCTGGGAAAGCAGTAGAAGATGGCTCAAGTCCTTGGGCCCCTGCACCCACATGGAAGACCTGGAAGAAGCTCCTGGCCCCTGGCTTTGGATCAGCACAGCCCAGTCTTTGCATCCAGTTGGGGAGTGATCCAGCGGATGGAAGACCTCTCTCTCTCTCTCTCTGCCTCTCCTCTCTCTCTGTGTAACTCTGACTTTCAAATAAATAAATAAATCTTAAAAAAAAAAAAAAAGATGTGCACTGAATGAACAGAGGAATTTGTGGCAGGTCTTTCATTTTGTAAGTTTTCCTCATATAACACATCAAATATTCTATAAAATGTAACAATCTCCATGGCAGTTAGTTCCATCTCCACGTCTGGCCTGGATTTGAGTCCCCATGGTACTGGCTCTGTGACTTGTGGTAAACACAAAACCTCCCTCCCTCTCTCAGTCTGCTCATTTTTTTTTTTTTTTTTAAATTTTTGACAGGTAGAGTGGACAGTGAGAGAGAGAGAGACAGAGAGAAAGGTCTTCCTTGCCGTTGGTTCACCCTCCAAAGGCTGCCGCTGCCGGCGCACTGCAGCCAGTGCACCGTGCTGATCCGAAGCCAGGAGCCAGGTGCTTCTCCTGGTCTCCCAGGGGGTGCAGGGCCCAAGCACTTGGGCCATCCTCCACTGCACTCCCGGGCCACAGCAGAGAGCTGGCCTGGAAGAGGGGCAACCGGGACAGAATCCGGCGCCCTGACCGGGACTAGAACCCAGTGTGCCGGCGCCGCAAGGCAGAGGATTAGCCTATTGAGCCACTACCCCGGCCCTCAGTCTGCTCATTTGTAAAATGGGCTAATTGAGGGCAGTGTCATGGCCCAGCAGGTTAAGCCACCGCCTTTGATTCTGGTATTCCATATGAGAGCCATATTTGAGTCCTGGCTGCTCCACTTCTGACCCAACTCCCTGCTAATGCACCCGGGAAGGCAGCAGTTCATGGCCC